TAAAAAAAAGTTTGTAGTTTTTTTTTAATCATTATTTAATAATCATTTATTGGCTTATATTGCGCAATTATCAATGTAAATTTTTGAATTTTGATTTTAAATTTCCAAACAAACAATTCTGACGAGTTTCTGTCAGTGGTTTTATTTCGCAGTGTTTCATATTTTCATCTATATTTTTCGTGTCTACGGGTCGCTCACCCCTTAATTACAAGCGCTCGTAAAAGTGGTCGTTCGTTGCCATAGTAGTGCATAGAAGGGCCTTGACCTTCGATCGTGACTAATCAACATTGATCACAGTCACATTTTTCAATATATCTGTCTGTGTTTTTATTTCGCAATGTTTTATATTTTCATCTACACTTCCGCGTCCACCGTCAGGTTCTTATTTCTATATACTATATAGCTCCTAAAAGTCGCCATTCGTTACCATAACAACGCAATGGCCTTCAATAAATATCCTTGACCTTTTATCGTAGTCAATCAAAAATGATCATTCAAGTTTTTCATGATTATTAGTCAAAAACAGATAAACTTGAAATTTGACTTATCAAACCCAGTCGTAAAGGTCATATAAAAGAAATATTGCCTTTCAGACTAGCTTTATCCTGTCCTCGAAACCCCGAGCGATCTAGTGAGAGAGAACACAGGCAATCTAAACATTTCCCGTGGCTTGAAAAGGATCTGACTAATTAAAAGAAATTAAGAATTAAAGGAAATATTACTACATTCACTATTTTATTGGTTGTTGTTTCTGGTATTTTAACCTCAAGGCGAGGTCTAACGTACATTCCTGAGGGCATCAATCGGCCAATCATCTCGCGAGTGTATCGCGCCCTCTAATGGGATCACTGAATTTGGACATAGGCTGTTTATATCCGGTTTTACCGCATTTAAACAGAGCACTCGAGTCAAGATTTACTGTCATTTCCCTTGAGATTACTTACCAGTTGTGTTTGATTTTGCTCGCGCGCGATGTAAGAATAAGGTTTAAGACCAAGGTGTCGTCTTCGCAGGAGGCTAGAGTTGCTAAATCGGCGATGTCCGATCAGACTTTTACATTTTCCGTGAAAAAATCAGAGGTGTCTAATGGAGCGGCTATCACGGATTCGGAGAGCGAGGGAGCTTCTGGCGGAGAACCGCTCAAAAAATCAAGTACACTCAACGTTAACCGCGAACAAATTGAAGATTTCACCAGCGTCCGCGACAAAATCTTCCCTTAACTTAACTTCTTTCGATCTCGCACCGAGCTGGGAAGCAATCTGAGAGCCTGAAAACTTTACCCTGAGGGAACTGTCGCAACTTTACGTCAGTACCTTGCTCAACACCTACAGCAGAACGCATGAATGATAACTCATCTTGATCGTGTTCATATTGAGCACCCTTTATCCAACCCCGCCGCCTTTTGTGTTGCTAGTGACGAAGTATTAGTATGTGCTGATGACGAGCAAAGAGCTATTATTCAAGTTACTTCGGAAAAAGATGGAGTTCCTATCCGCGGAAAGTCCTTTAAATTGGTTGAATATCCAGCAGATATAGCTGCAATAGAATCGCTGGCTGTTTGTGGCCGGTTAATTTATTTCGTTTCTGCAAATGTCCAACTACTGTAAGTGGTTTATTTTCCTTTTCTTTAAAGGGCGGACCAGTTGATATTGAATTAAAGAATAAGACCAATTCCTGCTTAGAAATCAAACGAGTAGAAACTGTTTGGCCTTTACAGGTTCTGGAGCTTATTAGGTCAAAGTAAATAACCCAGTCGACAAGGTAGTGAGGATTCAAGTGGGAAGTGGTCAATGAGGAGATGAAGGTGGGACTGCAAAAAAGGTGTACTTTTGTTCAACCACACGGAATTTGCACTGTAGGTGAAACAATATTCGTGAAGGATGCGGCAGCAGGGAACGTGTAGCTCATCAGTGAGTTGTCGGGCACAACACCATTCCTGACGCACCTCGGTCTATTGTATGATAGCTTCGAAATAACCTGCAGTGGGACTGTTACCCAAGACATCACACCACGACAAAAGGTGGAAAATGTGAATAAAATAATCTCAAATCAACAGTTTCCAAAGTCAACGAAGACAACAATCTAGAAGAAACGGCAACCACAGATAGTCCTTAGGGCACAGTGTCACAGAAAACGTCTGTTCAGCTTCTTTTGAGAGGAATTAACCGTCTCATAGAAAACATTAACACCATAAATCCAAAATTTGCGAAGCATATCGATTGGTCCACTATCCTTACTACTGTAGTAGAAAACCTCCATGATTTGTCACATTTCAAACATGAGACATTTAGTGTACTTCAGTATGCTATGGACTTTGGAACTATCTCAAAGAAGTCCCTTAAACGGATTACAAAGTGGAAAGCCACCTATTTTACACATCCTGCGTCTTACTACCCTGCTCCTCGGACTAGTATGTCATTCAGTGCCGCTAAACTTATGATCTCTTTGACAGCAGAGACTATTCCAAAAGAGACGGAAATCGTGAAGGAATGGGCAGAACATTACAGAACAGTGAAGAAGAGAACCGCTCGAAGCGAGACGACGAAAGACAAAGCAGGCGCTCTTCCACCAGCTGTGTGCAAGAAGGCAAAATCTGGAACTTGGATTGGGGTTTCCTTTCCAGATAGCCGCGTGGAAAGTTTAACCACTTCTGTGTCTCATGAATTAGTACTTCGATCTTTTTACCTTAGTAAGCCTACTCAGGCAAGTCCACGGCGTCTTCAGTAGTAAACTGTAGCTCTGAATATGGTGAAATTTATGAACGTTAAGGAAACAGCAATAAAAGAATTTTCTTAACAACATCTTGATTTCAAGTACCCTCTAAGCCGTATTCTTATTAAACATGTACGGTACATAGAAAAGTATATGTATGTTTTTTTGTGAGTTTTCGCTGGATTGCTGCCACGGGTTGTTATTTTGGCTCCCAACCTCCGCCGGAAGGAAACTCCCGGCTTTTGTAAAAAGCCAAGAAAGACAACAAAACACAAAATAGTTCAAGGAAGCGAAGAAAAAAGAAAAACTTAACTTTCAAGTTTTGTATAAGACAAAGTAAATTTTTCTTACGTTGCCACCTAAAACGTTCGTCATGCATTTGTGGCTGTCGTCGTATCGCTTGTAATCCGCCATAGGTTGTATTGTTACATGTACAAAGTTGTCTTGCGCTTTCCTCTACTCGAGGAAAAGAAAGTGTGGGTTCCCCCTCTACTGGTAAGAATCTCTGATTTTCTCTGGCGTACTCCACACGAGCTCTTTCATTCCCTGATGGTCGGATGATTTTTACCATGTTGTAGAGTATGATCATACAGCAGATAATAACAACCAATTGGACGACGCAAGCAAAACAGAGCATTTCGGTGATCATGACTGGGGAATAAGCTCCAGCTTCGATACTATTCCAGGCGTCTAAATAGAAATAGGGCAACATGCAAACAGGTTTGGTCAGTAATTGCTCTTCTGCGAAATAAGGATTTACTGTAGTCTAGCTGAACTTATGAATTCTTGGTTTGCACGCGACGTGACGTCCGGATTTTACAATTTTTACCGGCCA